TTTTGTCGAGATACGATTATATTAAACATAACATATATTAAACATAAACATATGAACTTAAAAGCCCTATTCGGGGGGTTCAGATGTATTGGGGGCTAGGTGAAATAATGGACCGATGCTAAGTATTTTCAATAGACTTCGTCTCTGGTAACAATAGAAGATCATGTGCCAAATTTCATGGAATTATCTTCAAAGTTGCGACCTGTAGTTTGATTACAAAGTTTGCAAACCCTATTCGGGGTTTCATTTGTATGGAATGGACCGATCTTAACCTTTTTTAATAGGCTGGGACAATACAAGATCATATATCAAATTTTATTGTATTATCTTCAAAATTGCGACCTGTAGTTTGATTACAAAGTTTATAAGGACGGACGGGTGTAGCTAAATCGACTCAGAAAATGATTCTAAGCCGATTGGTATACTTTAAGGTGGGTATAGGACGAATAATATTGTGCGTTACAAACATCAGCACAAACCCAATATACCCTCCCCACTAAAGTGGTGTAGGGTATAAAGATAAATTTTCTTTAAAAAAGTACTTTTCAAAAATTTTCTATAAAGAAGAAAAATTACATTTTTTTAAATATCTGTGTACCTATAGCTTTTCTTAACACTGTGCCGGTATACTGTTGTAGTAGTTTATTGTTACTTTGTGGTTTTAGTTCAATAAATGAACTTACAATTCAAATGTTGCTTTCAACGTTCCAGCCCGATCGTTGTTTTAGTGCAATTCTTGCAGCCGCCGCTGCTGTTGTTGTTGTTGTTGTTGTTACTATTGTTCTGGGGTTATTTAAGTTTTATGCAAGAACAACAACAGCATACCCTTCTAGTCTTTTAGTTTAATGGCTAGAACTATATATAGGAATATGAACAAACTTTTATTAAGCCAAGTTGTAACCAAGTTTATTCATTGCTACCGGGGATCATTTCTGGCTAAAATTATTTGAACATGTCTATAGAATAAACTAACTATATTTTTATTTTATTTCTTATTGTTGTTGTTGTTGCAGCTTTTATAATGTAAAGCTTCAATAAGTTGTAGTTTTTGTTGTCGTCGTCGTCTTCGTCTTGCTTGCTTATTGTTGCTGCTGCTGTTGTAAAGTTTTAGGCTCGCGTCTACGGAGACACGCCTAACCGCAAGGCAACCGTTTTTCTTGTGTTACCATGTCTTTGGGGGGAACTCGCCAATATTATGCTGTTGTTTTTGTTGCTATTACTTTAACGTTTATTTAACTTTAAGTCTCTGTTGTTGCTTTAATAAATCTTTTGTTTAAGATTCAAAACACAATTCCTCATTCTTTTGTTTAAAGTTTTTTTTTTTTATTTTCGAAGCTTTAGTCGTATTATTATTATTGCAGTTGTTGTGGGGATGTTGTTTTTGTTGTTTAAATATTCGAGGATTACATGACCTACAAGTGTTTTAAGTCAGGTCTGATTATTTAAAACATTAACTAAATAATTTGAAGTCATAAAATAGGAGTTAGTTTGCTGAAATATTGTTTCGGTGATTTGGCAGATTTTGAATAAAAGAAAATAAATCGGAGAAACTGTATGTACCTATATGGCTCCATTTTCTGTATTATTAAATAGTATGACTTCTAAGTATATCACGATTTTAGTTAGTTAGTTAATTCTAACTAACAGACGGACAAACCTACCGACAATCACAATGTTCTTAGCCGTAGGTTACACAAAATCCCAAATAAACAGTTTTTCTGTTCATAACTGTTAAATTGTTTGTAAATTAAAACCGATCTAAACGATTTAAAATCGGTTTAATGAAATGGAAAATTGTTTTTTTTTCTTTGTTTTTTTTTTTTTTTTTATTTGTGATGTAATTTCAACCTTAAAAAAATATTTATTTTTTAGCATTTATGATACTTGAAGTGTTTTTTTCTCTATAAATCTCAAAGTAAAGATTGACGGCATAAATTAAAAAGAAAAGGTCAAGTTCGTTATCAAAACAGAAATGGCAAGTAAATAAATATCGAAAAAAGAATACAGACTCGATTTACTGTGACTTGAAAGAAAAGTGTAGAACAAATATCAGCAATACTTGTACAATTTAACACCGAGTCCTCTACAAATATTTGCTGGTTTTAAAAAGCCAAAAAAAAAAAACCTAAAAATCAAAACAGGTATAAATGAAATAGTAAATTAAAGCAAAAGGGATCAAGTCTCACTGTAACGCAAATGTAAATGAATTGTGCCTACAGGAAAAGACAAATAGTAGAAGAAAATAAGAAAAAAAAAAGTAACACAGATAGAAAATATTGTTTGTAACTCATGTTAAAATTTGTGTAGGTCGCAAGCCAACAAATGCGTAGATGACAATGAAAGTCTGAAGGTTTCAAACTGCCAAACAGTCGGTACAACTTCTAGACTCACAGGATATGAGTGTTTTAAAACTCACTGTTGTTTTTAGTTTTGTGTGTAGGCATAGTAGACAATATGAAAATTGTTCAAAATCGAATGTGGAAGTTATGGTCGATAGCAACGAATCACTATTCCATATACATATAATTAAAATTAACTTCTTATTTGGAGTTGGTATCGATATGAACTATCTATCTATCTATCTATCTATCTATCTATCTATCTATCTATCTATCTATCTATCTATCTATCTATCTATCTATCTATCTATCTATCTATCTATCTATCTATCTATCTATCTATCTATCTATCTATCTATCTATCTATCTATCTATCTATCTATCTATCTATCTATCTATCTATCTATCTATCTATCTATCTATCTATCTATCTATCTATCTATCTATCTATCTATCTATCTATCTATCTATCTATCTATCTATCTATCTATCTATCTATCTATCTATCTATCTATCTATCTATCTATCTATCTATGTATCTATCTATCTACCTCTCTATCTATCTATCTTCGATCTAATCTATCTATCTATCTATCTAATCTTCTATCTATCTATCTATCTATCTATCTATCGATCTATCTATCTATCTATCTATCTATCTATCTATCTATCTATCTATCTATCTATCTATCTAGCTATCTATCTATCTATCTATCTATCTATCTATCTATCTAGCTATCTATCTATCTATCTTATCTATCTATCTATCTATCTATCTATCTATCTATCTATCTATCTATCTATCTATCTATCTATCTATATCTATCTATCTATCTATCTATCTATCTATCTAGCTATCTATCTATCTATCTATCTATCTATCTATCTTCTATCTATCTATCTATCTATCTATCTATCTATCTATCTATCATCTATCTATCTATCTATCTATCTATCTATCTATCTATCTATCTATCTATCTATCTTATCTATCTTCTATCTATCTATCTATCTACTATCTATCTATCTATCTATCTATCTATCTATCTATCTATCTATCTATCTATCTATCTATCTATCTATCTATCTATCTATCTATCTTATCTATCTATCTATCTATCTATCTATCTTCTATCTATCTATCTATCTATCTATCTATCTATCTATCTATCTATCTATCTATCTATCTATCTATCTATCTATCTATCTATCTATCTATCTATCTATCTATCTATCTACTATCTATCTATCTATCTATCTATCTATCTATCTATCTATCTATCTAATCTATCTATCTATCTATCTATCTATCTATCTATCTATCTATCTATCTATCTATCTATCTATCTATCTATCTATCTATCTATCTATCTATCGATCTATCTATCTATCTATCTATCTATCTATCTATCTATCTAATCATTAATCTTCTATCTATCTATCTATCTATCTAATCTATCTATCTATCTATCTATCTACTATTATCTATCTAGCTACTATCTATCTATCTATCTATCTATCTATCTATCTAGCTAGCTAGCTACTATCTATTCTAGCTATCCTATCTATTCTATCTATCTAATCTATCTATCTATCTATCTATCTATCTATCTATCTATCTCTATCTATCTATCTTCTATCTATCTATCTATCTATTATCTATCTATCTCTATCTATCTAGTCTATCTATCTATTATCTATCTATCTATCATCTATCCATCCTCCATCCATCCATCCATCCATCCATCCATCCATCCATCCATCCATCCATCCATCCATCCATCATCCATCTATCTATCTATCTATTTTGACTTTGTTATAAACAAAATTCTTCTTCTGCCCTAAAACCTAAATGTAGCGTACAAAAGGTGCAAAACGTTAATAATAAACGAAACACAAGACAAAAAGCAACGGCCAGCGGCCAAAAAATGCACGATAATTTAAAATGCAACACATGATTTTTTCGAAAAACATAAAACAGTCAAACAAAAATTTATGTAAAAAGAAATAAATATGAGCGACGAGAGAGACAGGTCAAAAACAATACATGAGAGAGATATAATCTAAATTGAAAGAGAGAGAGTACTTATATCTTTGAGATACTCGATTCAAAATATAAACAAACTGTGTGCCCACTGGAAATGTGATCTAATTGGAAAATTCCTGTTGCTTTTGAGAGCCTCGAGACGACAACACGAGCTCATTTTCCAACCAAACAACCGAACACTTGTTGATCGTTTTGGCTTTAAAAGAAATAATAAAGATATTGTTTACGAACTACAAGAGCAAAGTATCTGGATAAATTCCAGTCATAAACAAGAATGTGTTTTAATATTGAGTGTGTAACTAAGAGTGAGCACATGAAGTGTAAAGTATCTGAAGGTTTTCCAAAATGAACAGTCGCGTTTTGACTTTTAAGAAGCGTTGTTTAAACCACGGTTGATTTATATAAATTTTTAAAAAATTTTGCCCACGACTTTACGTTTTTTTTTTTTAATGTATACAAATAATAAGTACTGGCGGTGATATATTTTGTATACATTTTATTAAAGTGATTAATAATACGAAAAAATACATAAATTAAAAACAAAACAATTATTTTTGAATAATTTTATAATTTAATAAAAATTCTTTATGAATATGAATTTAAAAATATGAATATTTAAAGTGTGTATAAAAGAAAGAAAAGAAATAACATAAAAATTACTTACAATAAAAATAATTTGTTAAAGAATTTAAACAAAGTTTGTTTTTTTTTCTACTTTTTTATGATAAACCCATAAAATAGAAACGTTTAAATTTCTATATAAATAGTTAACATAAATTTTATGATTATTTGTTAAATCGGCTTAAAGTTTTTATTTTTTGTTATTTATACAAGCTTGTGTATAAATTTGTTGTGTTTTATATAAGCTGTTTAGTGTGGTAGTAGAAAAAAAAGGATTAAAATAATTTGAAACAAATATAATATAAAATAAAAATATACAATATAATAGAATCACAAAAACACAAAAAAATAAAGAAAAAAAAATATCTTCCCATGATGTTTATTAAAGCATGAGCTCTATTTTATTGTCATTGCCACAACGTTATAAGCGCCAATTACAAGCAATGACTCTTGCCGTGATCATCATTTACACCACTTTGGTGTTTTACCAAAGTTCATATGGATATCCCAATATTGAGGTGAGTCTCTATTATATATGTTAACATTGAGACAATAGTGAAAAAGTCTTGTCTGTTTTTTGTTGGTGTGGACAAATTTAAATGGGTTTTAATTAAGATTAAAAATATATTTCATTTTATCAATGGAGAAGTTGATTTGACTAAAGATCGCTGGCTAAAGAGTCAATACAATGTTATTGTAATGTTCTAGAAATGATCTATTATATCATATCGACAATTGGTCTTTGATTTTTTTGTATGATCTAAATTCAAATCTTGTTTATTCATGCAAGATTTTGATCTTATTTGATCATGTTTTTGAAGTTTTATAGAAAAAGCTTTTAACTTTTTGCGTAGATCCTAAAGTGTGAGGTAAAAGTTGCGGTTTAATCTGAGAAATAATTAGTTTTTGTAGTGAAATAAATTTTTCAGTTGGTTCTTATTATCTGTAGGCCCTACTCATAGGCAAATTGTCCAAATGTGGATTATGGGCCTGTTTAGGAGATTCGGTTGCAGAATAGTGCAGGCCATAATGGACTTATAATGGACTTCGAGAATGCAAATCGTCTGTAATAAGTTGCTTTTATATCGGGACTGTATTCGGCTCCGAGTTTTTTAACAAGGAGGATTACTTCCCTAAAATATGAGGTTAAAATTGGAATTCAACCTTGAAAGAATAAGACTTTTATAATTAGTTTAATTCAGAGACCTTATCCACAGGAAAATTTACCAGGTCTGGAATAAGGGTCTTGCTTGAGATGTTTAAAGTTTGATTGTCGTACAGTCCATCTTGTCTAAAAGAAACTAAAGCTTGCAACCAGAAGGATTCAGATATAGAATTTCAGAATTCAAATCTTTAGTAATATTAATATGGGAAATATTAAAATTATATAGAATTTCAGAATTCAAATCTTTAGTAATATTAATATGGGAAATATTAAAATTGTTTTTATATCGGTACCTTATTATACTTAGGATTTCTTTGAACCATGGGTTGTTTAGAGGAAAACTTCACTGACGTATTGTAACATCAGAGAAGTTTTCAAGTAGTTCTACAGTTGTTTGTGTGTGTGTTTTGCTTTTAGTGTCGCCGTTAGCAGTAATTCAGGGCCCAAATTATGGCATACGATATCGATCGAAATCTCCATTTAGATTCTATTGAGATTTCGATCGATATCGTATGCCGTAATTTGGGCCCAGTATATCTAATAGCTATAAGACTGAAGTACCGATTCATATATTCAAAATATTGCTTTCTAATGATATTAATTGATATTTGCGAAGGGATTCTTAACGAGTTCTTTAGTTTTTTGCTTGTGCTTCGGCATGCATACCGCCATTAATAAGTGATCGATATGCCGTTCTTAAATCTGAAGTCTCGAGTCACATTAAGTGATAAATAACATGAAAATATTGATTTCCCGAAATTCGGCTTGAATTTCTTTAAATTCTGCTCTTAACAGTTTTGTGTTCGAATGAATTCTTATTGAGGGATGTACTATCCAAGTAGTTCTTCAGATTTTTACTTGCGTTTCGGCTTTAGTACCGCCATTAGTAAGAGTTCGATATGCCGTTCGTAAATCTGAAGTCCCGAGTCATATTAACTGATGAATAACATCTTTAAATTCAGCTTTTGACAGTTTCGCATTCAATTTCTCGCGATTTGATGCGTTCGAATGGATTCTTATTAAGAGATGTACTATCGAAGTACTTCTTCAGATTTTTGCTTGCGCTTCGGCTTGAGTACCACCATTAGTAAGAGTTCGATGTGCCATTCGTATATCTGTAGTCCCAAGTCATATTAAGTAACGAATAAATTAAAACTGTTGATATCTCGCGGCAGTAACTGATCCATCGGGTTGAATTTCTGCTGTTAAAAGTTCTACCTTCAAAATATGGATTTCTCTCCGTTAAAACAGATCACGAAAATTTATCGAATTTGACCAGAACAAAATTTTTAAGCAAAACCATCGATTATTTACATTTTTAACACCTTAGCTCTAGTACAGTGATGCATCCATTTCATCCAATAATAATAATATTGACAGAAAATTTCCTGCAGTTTAATTACCTAAACTTTAAGCCCCCTTTTTACAGTTTTTCTATATTAAAACACAATTTCAAAATATTTCTAATAAAATCCACTATTTATTATTAATATCTCACGATATATTAATTGTTGTTGTCATATTTAAAAATATGTTAATCACAAATTTCCCCCCGCTAGCTAATGAAGGAAACCACAAAGAGATCATATATGAGAATAGATCAATTTTATGGTTACCATGGACTATAAACTAAAAACAGAAGATAAAACATGAAATGCATTCTACTTCTGTTAATAAATTTCTATTGAATAAAATTTAAAGTTAACTCATAAATATTTGTGTTAATTAAACACTAATGCCGCCGCTTGAAACATTTTTTTAATTTTTTTTTATAAAAGGCCTAAAGATAAAACCTATATTATTTAAAGATTAGACTTGAGAAAGCATACAACTGGAAGAGGAAAGAATATAATTTAAAAAACTATTTTAATTTTATGTTAAAATCATTTAAACATTTTTTTATTAATAACAAACAACCAGTTTTTCCTTAAATTTTTATATTAAAAATGTTTATTTTTTTAACAAGAAATCATGGGAAAGAAAGTTAATTTAAATAAAATAAATTAAGTTAAAAGTATTTTCTACTGGAACTACTTTTAAGGCTTAAAATATCAGCTACTATTTTACAGCAGCAGCTTTTAAGCTGTATATAAAGTCTGTTATAAATGACAGATTTTTTTATTCTTTGTTTTATTGCTCAACTATTAAATAATGATAAAAACTATAGTTTGTTAGTAATTTAAACTAATCGTAACGAATTTATTATGATTTTCTATTATTTTAAAATTTTAGTTTTCCGATAAAGAAAAAGTGAAAATATTTGAGTTTTTTAGGTAGTTAAAATTTGGTGATTAAAAATTTTATATTTTAGCTTTCGCCTTGGGCGGTTTTGATGAAAGATTTGTAAAGTACAAGAGTTTTGAATTATAGTTTTAGGTTCAATTTAGATTTTTAATTTTATTTCATGATTTCTGTTACCGGGTGAAAATGAAAACTGTTAATCTATCATTCCAGACTAAAGAGTAAATTCTACATTATAGACTAAGCTATAGACCAGATTTAATCACATTGTAGTCCATACTATAGACTAGACAGCAGTCCAGATTATATAACGGTATATAGACCGCACTATAGTCCGTACTGTATACTAAACTGTAGTCAAGACTATAGACTTACTATAGTCCGGAGTATAAACTAGACTATAGTCGAGACTATTGACTAGACTGCGGCATATACTATAGAAGAGCCCAGATTATAGACTACACTATAGTCCAGACTATAGACTACACTTTAGTCCAGATTATAGACTACACTATAGTCCAGACTTTAGACTACACTATAGTCCAAATTATAGACTACACTATAGTCCAGACTATAGACTACACTATAGTCCAGACTATAGACTACACTATAGAATACACTATAGTCCAGACTATAGACTACACTATGGTCCAGACTATGGACTACACTATAGTCCAGACTATAGACATCACTATAGTCCAGACTAAAATAGTCCAGACTATTGTCTACACTATAGTCCATACTATAGAATACACTATAGTCCAGACTACAGACTACACTGTAGTCCAGACTATAGACTACACTATAGTCCACACTATAGAATACACTATAGTCCAGACTATAGACTATACTAGAGTCCAGACTATAGACTACACTATAGTCCAGACTATAGACTATACTATAGTCCAGACTATAGATTACACTATAGTCCAGACTATAGACTACACTATTGTAGAGACTGCACTATAGTGAAGACTATAGACTGAACTATTGTGCAGTGTACACAATAAACCACAGACTACACTGTAGTCCAGACTATAGACTACACTATAGTCCACACTATAGAATACACTATAGTCCAGACTATAGACTATACTAGAGTCCAGACTATAGACTACACTATAGTCCAGACTATAGACTATACTATAGTCCAGACTATAGATTACACTGTAGTCCAGACTATAGACTACACTATTGTAGAGACTACACTATAGTGAAGACTATAGACTGAACTATTGTGCAGTGTACACAATAAACCAGTTTGTAGACTAGCATGTAGTACAGATTCTCAGCTAGACCAAAGTCCACATTATCGACTATACTGTAGTCAAGGCCATATAATGCACAATAGACCAGACTATAAACTGCACTATGGACTAGACTGTAGACGAGACTATAGACAAGTCTATAGACTAAATAATCGTCCATAGATTGTGGCTATAGTTCAGACTAAAGACCACACAATAGTTCAGAGTATAGTGTGAACTATACACTAGACTATAGTCCAGGCTAAAAACCAGACCATAGTTCGGCCTGACTATAGTCCAGCCTATAGACCAGAGTATTGTCCAGACTATTGACCAGAGTATAGTTCAGGTGATAGACCAGAGATAGTCCAGACTATGGACCAGACTATAGTCCAGCGTATAGACCAGACTGTTGTCCAGACTATTGAGCTTTAGTCCAATTTATAGCCTATACTAAAAACTAGACTAAAGTTTAGACTAAAAATTTATCTGTCTACACAATAGACTGATCTATAGTCTAGTCAACAGATTGATTTATAGTCTGTACTACAATGGCATATTTTTATATAAATTTTCCTAAAAAACTGAACTTAACACATTTCCCTACTCAACAAACATTTACATTTATTAAACATTTAGAATCTACCAACTTTTATTGCCTATTATTTACGATCAGACCCACTGTGTGTGTGCGCTATGTGTTATTACTGTTAGCGGTATAAAGGAAATGAAAGTCTATTCAAAAGATACAAGTAATTTAATATTTTATTTAATTTAAATAAAGTTTGTCTTAAATACTGATCTTTAAAGACAAATGAGTTGATTAAATGTATATTTAATTTAAAAGTAATAAAATACAAAATCA